GTCGGTCATCAGGAACACCTCGAAGGAGATGTCGGCGTTCTCCGACTTCCCCTACCCCAAGGACTTCCCGGTGTTCCTGCCCAACGCTCCTGGAGTACCTCCCGCACTATGCCAAGCACTTCGGCCTCTGGGAGCACATCAAGTTTGGGGTGAGTGATGGGTGCCCCGGCGCTGCCCCGCTCCCCATGCACGCCGGGTGCCAGTGGTGACTCCACTTGGCTTCCACATTTCAGACCACCGTCGTCAGCATCAGGAAACGCACTGACTTTGCCACCACGGGCCAGTGGGACGTGGTCACGGAGGTGGATGGGAAGCAGACGTCGCACATCTTTGATGCCGTTATGGTTTGCAGCGGCAATTTCTCTGAGCCATCCCTCCCCCTGCACTGTTTTCCCGGTACGGTACCTGGCTGTCTGTGGTTACCTGCTTCCAGGGGCTGGGGGGAGAAGTGTTAGTGGTTCCTCAGGGAAAATGCTTCCTTCCTTTTCTGGCTTCTGCTTTTCAAACCTCCTGGCAATACATCCTCATGCTTCAGCAGCTTTGTCTTTGCAGGCACTGATCGCTTCAGAACAAACTTCCAAGGTAGGATGGTTTAGCCTCGGAGAAACTTTCTGCACGGTATGCAAGATGGGGCAAGGCCCTCTCAGGAAAGCTCCATCATCCTTGACAGGGCTGTATTCATCACTGCTGTGATGAGTCTCCCCAGTTCTCAGCATAGAGAGGGTTGCCTTATCATCAGCGTTATCAAGTGCTTCTGAAGCTGCTCGTAGGACAGGAGAAGAGGTTTACTGGCTTTTCTGAACTTTTGCAGCCCCATCTCATAAAGGCTAAATCCTGAGACTGCACCAGCACAGCTCTTGCACATAACTGTCTTCCAAGTCCCACCCAGCACATGTGTCCCTCTCACTGCCATGCAGGCATGTGTGAGACCCCATTTTGGAGAGGGAGCACCAAGTCTGTGTGCGTGGGATGGAGGGCCACCGATTGCACTTCCTTGCTCTTGCATCTGGATCGTTTCTACGCCAGTTCTCCCAACAAAATCCACAAATGCTCAAGTAACTAAAATCTTTGTTTCTTTTTCCCCAAGGCATCGAGAGGTTTCAAGGCCAATGCTTTCACAGCCGGCAGTACAAGCATCCCGAAGGGGGATGCTTCAGGGGAAGCGTGTCCTCGTGGTTGGCATGGGCAACTCGGGAGTGGACATCGCAGTGGAGGCCAGCCGTGTAGCCGCGAAGGTACCACCACCCAGTCACCCCAGGGGTGCAGGGAGGGTGATGCTGGGGGCAACAGCTCAGTTCGCCATCATCATAGGGAGAGTGAGCTGGGATCACCCTGCACGGTGTCAGTATTTCTGAACCTGTATTTCTTGGTCAAAAACCCACCCTAAAAGAAAGCGTTTGTTCTCTTCTCTCCTGTTTCATCTCCAGCTGCCAGGACATCTTAAAGATGCTGTTGCTGCTTTTTCATTGCGTAGCTGTCTGCACTGTGCCCCTTTACTTTATAAAGGCAAAGCAGCAAATTCATCACCTGAATCGTTGATTCTCCGCTCTCTCCCAGGTGACCGTTTGCACCAGCCGAGGCAGGCGCCTGGGTGCTCAGCCGCGTGTTTGACCACGGCTACCCATGGGACATGGTTTTCAACACTCGTCTTATGAGCTTGATCAGAAACAGCCTCCCTGGACCCCTTTCATGGGGGTTAATTAACTACAGGGCAAACCAGTGGTTCAAGCACGAAAACTATGGCCTTCAACCAGAGAAGAGGTACTTGGTGGCTCCCATCCCATGCGGTGTCACGGGGCAGGGCAGGAGGGACATCTCCAGCAACCAACATCAACCAATGCAGCAAATAGCACCCAGACTGGGGTGATCTCCAGCGGGGAGTTTGTAGTCAGCAGGATAAGCTAAGCTGTAGCCCCCTTAGGTGGTGTGAGATGGAGCACGCTGGAAAAGCCCAGAAAGGACCAAAGGAGTTTTCCTCATGAGGCTCCCTGGAAAAAGAGGAAGAGGGAGGCTTAAAGCATGGATCAGCTCTGAAAAGAGATGGTTTAAAGAGTAATTGAGTGAATGGAGGAAGAAGGCAGGAGATGTCCACGAGTCACTCAGGCTGTGGGACAGGGTGATGTTGCTGCAGGGGTGAAACATGTCCGTGTTTGGAGAGGGGGGAGGCAGGGCTGTTTGCTCAGAGCAAATGACAGTGGGAGATCATGGGGCTGGAGGGCCCAGGGGGAGGAGGAGCAGGGGCACCGGCAGGGCTTGTTCATGGTCTCCAACGCTCAGAGCCCTTCGGCTCTCTGCAGCTGCTTGGTGCACAAGCCCGTGCTGAACGATGACCTTCCAAGCTACATCCTGACGGGGAGGATCACCATCAAGCCAGGCATGAAGGAGTTCAAGGACAACTCGGTTGTCTTCCACAACTGCCCTGAGGAGGAGCCCATCGATATTGTTGTCTTCTGCACGGGCTACGACGTCTCCTTCCCGTTCCTAGAAGAAGCAGTCGTCAAGGTGGAAAACAAGCACGCGTCCCTCTACAAATACGTGTTTCCAACCCACCTGCAGAGGCCCACCCTGGCCGTCCTGGGGCTGATCAAGCCGTTAGGACCCATCATGCCTGTGGTAGAGATGCAAGTGCGCTGGGTGACCCGTGTCTTCAAAGGTAGGAGAGCTAACATGAGCTCTCCCGTGTACCAAAACGCAGTTCAAACTGGACACATCTTGTCCCCTCCATGCACCAAGAGGGATTTCAGTCCTTGGGGACCCCGAAGCTCACATCAAAGTGGACGAGGGAGCATTTATAGGGCTCAGACTTCCAAAGTTATTTCATTTCAGCTGAGCTACAGCAACATGAGTGCATGATTGGTCCAAGGTACATGCAAGTTCATGACATCTACCTTAAATAACTCTTTTTTGCCCGTTAAGCTGATGTTTTTAAACTAATGCTTTGTACCCTGCCTGCTGCAAGCTGAGAGCATGCACTCTGTTCCTTACTGTGACCCAGCTGATGTGCAGTCCTGCACCTGAGCCTGCAAACCACTGTCTAAATTAGGCTGTTCAAGACAGTATCTTCTCTCTAAAATATTTTAGAAGTCAGAGCACAGAAATGGATATGTAAACCTGGATGCACAGATAAGAGTTGTCTTTAAGATACTGTGGTGGATCCATCCTGGCAGAATTCACTGCTCTTTAAGGGACAGGGTGGTTTGTCCACCATGACTACCAGAGGAGAAGAGTCCCACTGCCCCACAAGAGGAATTATTTGTAATTATTGGGGTGAGGAAAGAAACCTACTGGTGTTTTTTGTGGGTTTTTTGATTGTTTTGGGTTTTTTAAAATAATAATAATAACCTCCCACTGGGCTGGTGTGGAGGGCTGCATCAAGGCTCCTCCACAGAACCGGGGGAACTCTGGGGTTTCTCTTTGGGATGGTGCTCTTTGGGGCTTGCACGGCCCATCTCACCCCACATCATCTGCGTGTACCCCGACAGCACAATTCTGTAAGACCAGGAAAAAGCGCAGGTGAATTCGTACCACCGTGGAGGGCTGGTCTCTGGCAAATCGCCACTGCCGAGCTAAATCCAGCGATGAGGCTTTCCTGCCCTCCCAGGGAAGGGCTTCCCGCATTTTGCATGGCTGAATGAGTTCCCAAGCCCCGCCAGGAGTTAAATTCTGCAGGACACTCTCCTCCTTTTCTAGGCTTGTGTCGGTTGCCTCCTCAGTCTGTCATGGAGAAGGAAGTAAACGAGAAGAAGAAAAACCAAAGGCAAAGGTAAGCCAGTCCCCAGAGCCCCGAAGGTTTTTCGGTGGATTGAAGAGCCCCTGGAGTTTGGGGGGCAGGAACACAGCTCACACTTTACGCCTACTCCCTGCATGTATAGCGGGGGCGAGGGGGGGATGCCCAGATCCAGCCACCCCCTTATTTGTTTGCCCTGAGCCAACATAGCCTTTGATTTGATGCTGATATTTTGCCTGTTGATGATGGGAAGAAATTAATTCAGGGTAGTCGAGACTAAAGCTTGCTTGGGAGTTGGGGAAGTGTGCCAGGGTCCCCAGAGTCTGAGAGATAAAATGGCAGAGAAATTAATGGTAATAAATGCAAAGTAATTCAGCAAGGGGAAAAAAAGCCAACCCGAGGTGTACGTACAAATTGTCTCACCTCTCAGCACGGGGATCTGAATCACTGTGAAAAGGTGTCTCAGCACATTGGCACATAGTTCATGGGCAGGCAAAAGATCAAATCAGAGGCTAAGAATTATTAGGAAATGAATGAGAGAAACCCAGGAAACTAGGCGATGTATTAATCCATGGTTCATCTAGATTGCTGCAGTAGAAGAGGTACAGAGGAGCGAAATACAGAATTGCACAGAACAATTGCTGTGTAATACAAGGCTAAACAGCCGAAGATGGGACACGAAGTGGTGAATTCTGCAGGGAAGGTGAACTGGAAGCAATTCTTCAATTCACCACACATTTTTGCAATACTCAGTGGAAATGAATGTGAGGGAAACTAAAGGGTACCGCCTTTCTCATGTTGCACGTGACTCTTCTGCGGAGAGCAAAGGGAAACTAGTTTAAAAAAAAAAACACCAAACAAACAACAACAAACAAAACTGGTTTGACAAAGTCTTTTAGAAAAGGTCCACCAAAGTGAAACGAGGGGGTCCAGATACAACTTGTGGGTGATGGAGTGAAGGACCAACTGACGCACGTGAGAAAGGTGTGTACCAGAGCCAGCATCACTTTACACGTGCTGCGTCACGGGCAGGATTCGGGCCCGGACAGACCTTGGTTCCCACTGCACGTACATCCAGTCCTTTCCTAAGAGCAACCCAGTTGCATTCAGATGTAATAACAACACGGATGCAGAGCATCTGACCTCCTGTTCCTCTCAGCCCCGCTGACACCCATGCTTTTTCCACCTCTTTTTCTTCTCCAATTCATTAAGGTTCGGTCTGTCCTTTGACGAAGTCCTCAAAACCGATTGCCTCATCTACATGGACAAGCTCGCCTCCTTCTTTGGCGCCAAGCCCAGCGTGCTGGGGCTGCTCTGCAGAGATGCCCGGCTGGCTCTCACCGTTTTCTTCAGCCCCTGCACCCCCTACAAGTACTGGCTGGGGGGCCCCGGGTGCTGGGAGGGGGCACGCCAGGCCATCCTCACCCAGTGGGACTGGACCCTGAAGCCCACGAGAACACGAGTCCCTGCCAGCTCCTCCAGCCCCTGCCCTTCTCTCCTTACTGTGGTGGGGTTTCTCCTGCTCCTGGTTGCCCTGGTTTTTAGTTTCCAGTAGATTTTAGAGCCTGTTTAGGTTTTTTCTTGTCCTTGGGGGTGTTATCTCAGGTCAGACAGTTCCACAGAGTACCACAGGACAGGGGGAAAGGGATTTCAGCAGATCACAACAAATTTAAAACTTTAACCAGCAGCACAAACCTCTCTCTGCTCCAGCTCACCCCCATGCAGGCCTGATTAGCTGGGGATGGCAGCCTCCCCCCACCATTTGTTGCCCCACTGTTGCTCTCTTGCTGTGAGCAGAGCATGGCTGTGTGGCATGGACCACGCTGGCCAGGATGCAGCAAGGACAAGACTAGCAAAAACGGCTTTTTGTGGTGTCGCAGACGGGAAGGAGCACAGGTGCCCAGCCCTGCCCTAGATCACCCAGGGGCACTTAGTCCAGCGAGGGATTATCTGGGCTGGATATGCAGGTCAAGCTGTCCCTTCTTCCAACCTTAAACCCTATGACTCGAAAATCCCAGTTTGGGTTGAATTGATGCATCTTTCCAGTGAAAGGGCTCTGGCTGCGGTGGTTTGTCACCCCTGAGACCGGGGCTGGTACCCTGCGGGGCTGAGCACTCCCAGCTCCGCTTCCCGGTGCTCCCCACCACCGGAGAATCCTGGGGCTTCGTTTTGTGCGTGGAGAGACTTTCAATCAATAAAATTTCATCAGCTGTGGCAGGAGCGTTCTGCAGGCTGCCGCCTCGTCGTCTCCCTGTGTGCACGGGAAGAGCCGGGGGGTCCCGTGCCTGGGCTGGGGCCGTGCCAGCGGGTGCCGCGGGCAACCCACAAGCCTGGGGCTGCAAGGGCTTTCACTGACCACCAAAAATTAGGCTGCACTGTGCGTCGTGTCCCCCATCCACGCTGTCTGCTGGCGTGCGGGCAAAGGGAACGTGTTTTGCTGATTTCCCGGGGATGCCAAGCGAGTGCCTGCCCAGCGCATGGCGGGGGCAGATCAGGACAACCCCAAGCTGCTGCGGGGGCTGGGGCAGCGACGAGCTGCAGCGTGGGAGTCCTTGCAAGCACAGCCCGCTTGGGCCAGCACCACCGCGGCGAGGCTGAGAAATTTCCGCCAGCGCATTTAAGCACAGCAGAGCGGGGGAGTGCGGGTGTAAAGGTCGGTGGTGCAAGAGCCGCGGTGAGCTGCCCGGACTTCAGCCTTTCCTTTAAATCTGCGGCTAGAGAAACTTGAAGCAAAGTTCGGCCAAAGCCGGAGCAGCAAAGGCACGGCACTGCCCCGCAAGGTTTGCTCCTCGCTTCTCTCTGGCCCCCGGAAGCTGTGCTCCTCGCTTCTCTCTGGCTGGGTTTTGCAGGCTTTAAAAGCGGGCAGCCAGCTCTCCGGGGTTTTGGCGTTCACCGCTGGCTTCACCTCGCTTGCTGTGGGGGGAGAGGGGGTGTCGCAGGGACCCTCCGGAGCAAAGCCGTCTGTGGGCAGCGCTGGAAAAGAGGGGTGACTTTAGCACCCCGGGCATGTCGCTACCTTTTCCCAAAGCCAAGGAAGGCTCTGGAAAGGGGGGGCGGGTGAGTGTTGGTATGTCCTGCCCTGTTCCTGCAGATCAAGGAGTGGCTCAGGTTGCGCTTTTGGATGTAGAGGGGTTTTTTTTGCACCTCCCTTATTTTTCCCTGGCTTTCTGCAGTTTCCTCCAGTTCCTGTTTACGTTAACTTACTTTTTGACACAAAATGGGTAGAAAAAAAGTTATAAATGAGTCTTTCTTCAGTCTCTGCAGCAGGAGTGTTTGTTATCTAATCGAAGTTCATGTGGGTTCATTTTTTTCCTAGTTTGTTTGCTTTCCAGTCAAGCTCGGTGCAGCTCAGTTTACACACCCCGAGCATTGAGTTCCTCCCATTTATACCCTGCGTTTCCTGGGTTTCTTACCTTTTGTATATTCTGTAATCCCAGCCGCACTTTCACGGTGCTGCTTAACTTCTGAATCGCTGCGCCGTGCTCCTGCTCAGTCAGGCATCACTTTTTATTTTTAAAAACCCTTTTTGTTTTTGAGAGAATGCCCTTTAATGGGAAATTAAAAAGGAAAGCATGAAAACAAGCCAGCTTAGCTGAAATCGTTTCTTGAAAAAGTTTCAGGAGGATCACTTTGTGCAGGCAGAAGCAGATAGCTGTGAGCCCCTTCCCCTTCTTTGCATGCCCTGGTTTGGGCCAGGAAAGTGAATAAATAGAAGCAGCAGCACAGCGAGGTTTAGAAGTGCCTCCTTTTCCCCCGCCGGCAGGAGAGGAATCTCTGGGCCCCCAGTGTGGGCTTAGCACAGCAGGAAGGATAATGAGCAGCATCCATCCGTCATGCTCGAGTCAGGAGCTGGGGATGGCTTTCTCCAAGGACAGTTTTCCTCTGGGGACACCTGCAGCCAGAGAAGACCAGGGTTGTTTTGCTGGGGATGGAAAGAAGGGACTAGTGTTTCTGCTAATCCCTGGGCTATTTTATTTCCAGTTGCTCGCACGCCGGCCCGTTGCCTGCTGCAGGACAGCATGGTGCGGCGTGTGGCCGTTATCGGGGCCGGGGTCGGTGGGTTGGCCTCCATCAAGTGCTGCTTGGATGAGGGGCTGGAACCCACCTGCTTCGAGAGGAGCGAGGACATCGGGGGGCTCTGGCGCTACACGGTCAGTGGGCTCTGCCTTCACGGGGAGGATTGTCCTTGGGTTTGTCCCTTCCCTCGGATGCCCTTTGCCTGCAGCAAAGACGAAAGGGTGGCCATGCCCTCGGGGACTATCCCTGTCCCAGGCTCGGGACTCCCCCTGACTCCAAGGTGGAGAAGGACATGGAGGGAGCGGAAGCCATGGTCACCAGGTGCTAGTCCTGGTTTATTCCTTGTACCCAAATACGAGGAGGAAAGGTACTCAAATACTTCGGGGGGAGCAAGTTCTTCTCCGCACACATGCAAACGGCACTGCTGGCTTCACGCAGGACTCCATGGATGGCGGGAGGGTCAGCGTATACCGCTCGGTCATCACCAACACCTCCAAGGAGATGTCCTGCTTCAGCGACTTCCCCTGCCCAGAGGATTTTCCCAGTTTCCTATCCCACGGCCTCCTCCTGGAGTACTTTCGGATGTATGCCCGGCACTTTGACCTCCTGCGGCACATACGCTTCAAGGTGAGTGGGGAGCCCAAACGCCATGGGGAGAAGAGCCATCAGTGGCTGCAGATAGCAGGGCATTGCCCAGGTGGGATGGGACAATGCCGGGTGCGATCCCATGAGGACCACCTGCCTTTTGCACCCTGAACACAGCCTTTTTGGCTCCATGGCTGCTCGAACATGGCCTGCCTGGTGCATCCCCCCCAATACCATCACCAGGGGAAAGGTGCAGGGTGGGATTTAATAGCTTCAGAGATGACATGCAGCTCCCCGGGGATCCAGCCTTCCCCCGGCAGCCCCAGCCCTTCGCAGGCAGGTCCTCTCCGAAACACGGTGCAGTCCCTGACTGCTGTTTTGTTGGGCTTTGGTGCAAGACAACAGCTCTCAGCGTGAGGAAGCGCCCGGATTTTGCCACCTCGGGCCAGTGGGAGGTGGTCACCGAGACCGACGGCATCCGGGATTCGCATGTCTTCGATGCCGTCATGGTTTGCACCGGCCATTACCAGGAGCCCTACCTACCATTGGCTTCTTTCCCAGGTAAGCCCTGCCTCAGTAGCGGGGTGGGCTGGGGCTTCCCCTCGGCTTTCACCCAGCACCCATGGGTCCCTTGGCTGCATTTTCCTCTGCAAGCCTGCCTGCTCCATGAAGCCCCCATGCTGGGGCAGGCAGGACCCTTACCCCGTGGGAATGGTGGGGAGCATTCCCGGGAATGGGAAAAACACCTCGTAAAGATGCAGCCAGGCTCTTGCATGAGAATTTGAAAGCAGCACCAAGCCGAGGAGGTGCAGGAAGGTGGCATCATCCAGGGAGCCAAGACCTCCACAGGCTTCTCAGCTGCAAGCAGAGGTGGGAGGTGGAGGGTCGGGGGCTGCAGAGGGTCCAGGCACAAGGCTGGGGCAAGCAAATGTAGTAGGAGATGCTCCCTGCCTAGGTATCGACACTCGCTTCAAAGGCCAGTACCTCCACAGCCAGGAATACAAAGACATGGAGGCTTTCCGGGGAAAGCGGATCCTCGTGGTCGGAATTGGCAACACCGGTGGGGACCTCTCCGTGGAGCTGAGCCGCGTGGCTGCGAAGGTACAGCTCCGCAGCGGTGCCGAGTCCGGCCAGGGACCATGAGAGCCAGTGGCTCGGGGTACGCACAGGAAGCTTTGCCCACCAGCTTTCTCAATAAATAGCACTTCAAATTGAGGGCAATTGAAGAAGCTCTGCAATTCTTGGAGAGTTTAATCCACCTGAGAAGCGGCCATTCAGTAGCTATGGGAACTTTGCGGAAGCCACCACGAGCTGTTCGGTTCATCCGGACGCCGTCTCCTTCCTTTGGGATAACCCTCCCGGCTCCTAAGTGCAGGAGATGGGATTTGCCATTCAGGGCAAAACCGACAACGAGATGTCTGGACAGGAGGCTGAGACCTGCCTTCTCCCCCAGGTGTTCCTCAGCACCAGGAGCAGCACATGGGTGTTCAGCCGGGTCTCGGATCATGGCTTCCCCTTCGACATGGTCAGCACCACCCGCTTCAACCACTTTCTCGACTGGTTTCTCCCATCAGCCCTCACGAAGAGGATGAGGTTTCAGAAGTTCAATTCATGGTTTAACCATGCGAATTATGGCTTGGCTTCCACCAAAAGGTGTTTTTTTCTGACTATTTTGTTGGTTGGTTAGGGGGTTTTAATGGCATGAAATGCTCAATTTTTAATTTCAGGGGATATTTGTGGAGTAGCAAACCATTGGAGGGGAACTCTGGCCACAAAAGATGTTTCGGGTCCCTCCCAGATGCTAACATTGCTGTCTTCTTTTCCACCTGCAAGCTCCAACTTCAAGGTAATTATCAACGAAGAGCTGCCGTTTTGTCTGCTGTCTGGGACCGTTGTGTTGAAGCCAAATGTGAAGGAGTTCACCGAAAGCTCTGCTGTTTTTGAAGACGGGAC